AAAACGACTAATTACTTTGATCACCTTGATATTTTTCAAGAGTTATAGTTTTCGCTGAAAATGGACTCTCGTTTTAGGCATTTTATTTTTTATTTAAAAAATTCATGTTTTTTTTGAAAATGCAACATAGTGTCTTAAACATTTTTATGTCACGAGCATGTATATGTATCGCACTGCTCTTAAAAATTTTTTCTGAAAAATTTCAGTTTCACAAATCCGGCCCTGTGCACTTTCACAATGGGTAATGATTAAGGGTGCTGTAAACTACACACAAACTTAAACACGGAACTAGTTCATAAAATTCATATATTTTTAACACAACTTTATTAAAAAATCAGAACGTTTTGGTGTTGAACCAAAATTCAAAATATTAAAAAAAGGCAACAGAAGCCTGAGAAAATACCATACAGCGCCGATGTTTTTGTTATAAATTAATAGTAAGCATACATAGACAACGCCGTCATGTATTTTATTTTAAATTTTAAATTAGAAATAGACGTTAATTTTGTCGAAGGCATTGTGTCAACAGAAAGATGTAAAAGTATTTCAAAAGAATATTGTTTATAAATAACATAGTATTAGTAATAAGTGAGCTACCATTCTGCATTTAAGTTGATGCTTATGCAATTTTTTATGTGGCGAAATATGTATTATTGTATACTTAAATTCTGAGTATTAAAAAATTCAGTTCTAAAATATATTAAGCTTTTTTAAAAAAACAGGAAAAGTTATCTAATTCTACAGTATTTCAAATAATTAGAAAGTACTTGAAGCATTTTCAGTACTTCAAGTATTTGTAAGTACTTGAAGTATACCTCCAGTACTTCAAGTACTCGTAAGTACTTGAAGTAATGTACTTGGCTTGTACTTCAAGTACATCTGAAAAGTACTTGATACTTGAAATACTCTTGCTGAAAGTAAGTACTTGGTACTTTACTTGAACACTATTTCAAGTAGTACTTTGTACTTGGTACTTCAAGTACTTTTTTTGAGTACTTTGAACAGCTCTGTTTCGAAATATGTTTTCGGTTTCATATTCAAATTTAAATTTATCAAGATTCTAAAAATTGCCAAATTTAATTTTGGCGACTCTAACATAGTTCCAAGAATTTTAGGAGAAAACAAATTTAAATTTCTACAATATTCAAAGGATTGCCTTTATTATTTTCGTGATTCTAGCAATATTCCACGAATTTCGGGAGAAACGACACCGAAAACAATTTCTGGAGGTCGAAATCAACAAAAAAAAAGTCTTTTCGTAACTTTTGAAAATGTTCGGGGAAGGTAAAAAATTTCATACGATGGGTACTAAAAAATTAAAATTTTGGCGAAATTGGTCAAAACATCACTGAAAATCTTGGGATATCGATCTCGAGGAGCTGAACTGGAAAACAGTCAGTGTATTAACAGTTCCGGATTAAAGTTTTCGAAATATGTTTACGGTGTCATATTCAAATTCTTACAGGATTTTCAAAATTGACAAATTTGATTTTGGTAACTCTGACATAATTCAGGAATTTTAGAAAAAATACAAAGTCGAGAACAACTTCTGGCGAACGAAATCAATATAAAACTTTCGTTTGGTTATTTTCAAAGGTGCTTGAAAAAAGTCAAAAATTTCATACATGGGGGTATAAAAAAATTAAGATTTTTGCGAATTTGTCGAAAAATGCACCAAGTCTTGGAATATAGAAGATCTCCATGAACTTAATTGAAAAACTAAACCTAAAATACGATTGATTTTGGCAAATGGCATACCCTCTAAGGAAGGGAGGGTGGGTGGTCGGGGCTAGTACCTGCTAAGACAAGAGTGATTTTGGCAAGTGACATACCCTCTAAGAAAACAACGGGTGGGTGGGCGGGCCTGCTACTTGCTTAGGCAAGACTGGTTTTGGCAAATGATACCTTGGAAGAAAATGGAAGATACACCTTTTGCCATTTACCACACTTTTAGTAAGTACTAGCCCCGCCCACCCACCCTCTCTTTACTTCGGGGGTATGTTATGCGCCAAAATCAGTCTTGCCTTAGCAAGTAGTAGCCCCGCCCACCCGCCCTTTTTTTTCTTAGAAGGTATGTCATCAACCAAAGTCACGCTTTTGTTAGCAAATACTAGCCCCGCCCACCCGCCCTTTGTTTTCTTAGAAGGTATGTCATCAATCAGTCACGTTTTTCTTAGCAAGTACTAGCCCCGCCCACCCGCCCTCTGTTTTCTTATAGGTTATATCATTTGAAAAAGTCAGTTTTATCGTAGTGAATACTAAGATGATGGTATCGGACCAAAGTTTTCGAAGTATTCGGTTTCAAATTTAAATTTTTACAATATTCTAAGGATTGCCGTATTTTATTTTGGCGATTCTGGAAAAATTCCGGAAATTTGGGGAAAAATAAAGTCGAAAACAACTTCTAGAGGTCGAAATTAATAAAAAAAAACTGTTTGATAAGTTTATAACGTGTTCGGGGATATGATATAGAATTTTCGAAATATTCTGTTTCAAATTCAAACTTTTACGATACTCTAAAAACTGCCAAATTTTATTTTGGGGATTCTGGCATAATTCTAGGAATTTTGGGAAAAAACGTAACCAGGAACAACTTCTGGTGGTTGAAATCTACATAAGATTGTCTTTTAATAGTTATCAAAGGTGTTCGAACAAAGTAAAAAGAAAAAGGCATCGAAAAATTAATATGTTGATGAAGCTGCTTGAAAATTCACAAAAAATTCTGGGAAATAGAAAATCTTGACGAACTTAATTAACTTAATAAAACAGCGACTTGATGGTCTTGGAGCCAAGTTTTCGGAATATTCTGTTTTGAATTCAAATTTGACAATATTCTATGGATTGTCATTTTTTATTTTTGCGATTCTGGCAATATTCCACGAATTTCGGGAGAAATGACACCGAAAACAATTTCTGGAGGTCGAAATCAACAAAAAATGTCTTTTCGTAAATTTTTAAAGTCTTCGGGGATATGGATCTCGACGGGCTAAATTGAAAAACATAACGTAGTGATGGTCCTAGACCAGATTTTTCAAAATATTCAATTTCAACTTAAATTCTTACAATATTTTAAAAATCGTCAGAGTTTATTTTGGTGATTTTGGCAAAATTCCAAGAATTTTGGAAGAAACAACGCCGAAAACAACTTCTGGATATTGAAATCAACAAAAGAATGCCTTTTGATAATTTTCGAATGTGTTTCGGAAAGGGTTAAAATTTTATACAGGTATTTTAAAAAATTGAGATTTTGTCGAAACTCGAAAAATTCTGGAAAATAGATCTCGACGAGCTGATTTGAAAAAGCGTCTTGATGGTCCTAGACCAACTTTTTCAAAATGTTCGGTTTCAAATTAAAATTTTTACAATGTTCTAAAAATAGCCATATTTAATAAGAATAATTTTATTATTTTTATATAAGGATCACCGTACATCCATAAAAATTTACCATACGTGTTATGTCTATTAACGTATCTATGAAAGTCTCTCGTTTTGCCACGAACACCTTTTAACTCCCATAATTGAATTACTGCTGGCGGTCAGTGGTTCAAATGTGACCCTATCCAGCCAAATACAGCAACTATATTCCATGGCAACGATGTAAACAAAACGTCTAAACGAGTCATGATTTGGTCTCCGCATTTGTCGAGACCAACAACATCTTTATATGTAAATTTTGCCATAAACTTCCGGATGATTTTTTAAGTATGTTTGTAGACGTTGCGCCCCTGGCACCATCCGCCCCTGCTAATAAAAGCGCTCCGTAATTCGTCGTCGCGCGCCTTTTAATAAATTCAATCCGATCGTTTTTTCGCTCACCGTTTTCCCGCATCGATTCCGTGAAAAATGGAACGTTACATGTTGTGAACGGCGGATTTCGACGAGATTCTGAATTATTTACAGACAATATAACAACAGATATTACGCGCTCGGCTCCGTAGTCGTGCTTGACATGAATGGGACTATGAAAAATAAACCGGCATTCAAGCGACGTACGTAAAATTATCCCGAGGATGTTCGCTTCCAATTTGGTGGCTTTGTGCTCTTAAATGTGGCACGACTGATTGCGCGGTTTTTGCCGCCGATTCGGCCCGGAGGTGGGCTTTTCGCCCGGACTCCGGATGCCGGCGATGGCAGGATAAATGGCCAGCGGATTGAATGCCAGATGGCCTTATTGCACATGCATGCCAAATATGCCGGCGATTGTGCAAGCGTGACGCGGTATTAATTTACTGGTTACGGGCGGGGGGCGGCATTCCGGCTTATCGGACGGGAGCGGTAGACGGGCGCCACAGTGAAACACAAAATCTTGCACTATTCCAAAATTTTTTGTTCGCATACTTTACAACTGCTTTCTTCCTTTTTACTTTCCGAGAGTAAACTGGACTTGGTTGAGTATAACGTAATAGACTTAGCCATTGTGATCCACTAATGCCTCTGCTGAAGGACTAGAAACTCGTTATAAACAATTCTTGGAAAGTTTAATGCGATAATTTAGACTGGAATGTCAAGATTGTTGCGCAGTGGTATTAGTCCGTATTAGTCTCTTTGCGAATGATTAAAAAATACTCCAGAAACGTCCCAAATCACCCAAAAATGTCTATAAAAGTCTCCGTATCTCCTCGCGTATTTCTTCTCCATTGCAGACTTCGCCCCATCCCGTCATGCTCAGTTTCGACTCAAAATCGCCCTCTTCTCGTCGCCAAAACCCATGCACGAACCAGGAAGCAAACAGACCTCGCGTAATGGCCTTTGTTCGAGCCAGACCTTCCGAAGCCCGTTCGGATCGGGCGTAACGACCGAAAATTCCATAAAGAAACTCTCCGCGAAGCTAATTGCTCTCGCGTCGTTATTTATTTTATTGCGTTGTTTACATAAATCGCTTTTTTCAATCATGTCCGGATTGTTGTTGAATGTTAAATTATGCAAACTAGCGAAGAACTCCCATCACCCACTCCTAATCGCGTTATTTACAAACGCGCTAACTCGTGTTTTTATTGCAGGATACTACCAGCCGGCGGGACCGTTAATTAGCGTTCCGCATGGTCACACCCAGCAGCCGCCGCCGCCGCCGCCCATTACCAAAAGTGCCCCGCTCTCGGAGACGTCGCCGACGGCGGCGTCGCCCATACACCAGCCGCCCCCGGCGCCCAGCTCCAACGGCGGCGACTCCTCGGACAGCGAGGTAAAATGGTTCCAATTTTCATTGAAAAACCGTTCACAATTTGTACGTTTACGCTGAAATATGGTTTTCGGGCGATAAGTGGTTTTAAATTTGCAGAGGCGGTTTTTGCGTTGTTTATTTCGGGATTTCGGTTTCGATGTTTCCGGTTTTTTATTAATAACGTCAATCAGTTCCGCCTGGGACTTTTATTCCGTTTACCGAACAGATAGAATCTCGAAGGTTGAATGATTTAGATGTTTTTTAGCTTGATGAACTTTGTTTCTGGGAAGATCTAGAGTGCATTAATCTTCGTGGATTTTCCGTAGCTCGGGGAAGTTCCCGGGCCGGGCTTCCCTCCCCGGTTTTTCAAAGCGATAAACCTGCCTCAAAGCAGCAAATACATGACTTTATGTTTCATGTTAAATGAGTTTAGTCTCTGGCGGCTGCTTTGTCAGCAATATACCCCAGTGATTAAAATGAAATACGCCGCTTTTGAATTGAAATTAGTCCGATCTGCGAGAGATTTATTTCCGCTTCAAGTTTTCGCTAAAAGCATTACATCATTAAATTTTGTACAACACCGCGTTGATGTGTTTTGAGCAGTTCTTTGTTCGCGGCGTTTTATTTTCAAGGGGTTGTCAAAAAAACGAGCAACAAGTCGAGAGTTAATTTTTATTATTGTTGAAATTAAAACTCAAAGAGACGCGCCGCCTCCGGGCCCTCGCTGAAAAAGAGCACTCCCTTTGTGAGCGAAACGAGCGCAATTATTAAATAAAGAAATCACTTCCAGGTGATCATCACCTCGGTGACGGCCGGCAAAGAGGCAGCGCCGCCGCCGCAGCAGCCCCCGAGTACTTACCGGTACTCGCAGTACCCCGCCACACCCCCCGGATACCCCTACGGCTATCCGCCCCACTACTACCCCACGCCGCCCCCGGCGCCGTCCTACGCTCATCATGATCTGTGTTATTCGACGAGCCCCTACTTACACCACAAGTACCCGCCGACCACCTACAGGAGGTTCCTGCCGAGCGCGACGCAGTATTACGCCCCCAACCCCCCCGACCTCTACGCCACGCCGCCCACGGGGCCCTCGCAGCAGAGCCAGCAGGTAAGAGACACTTCACTCACTGCTAACCCATATCTAGGAAAATGGGAGACCCACTTTTCATACTTCGGGGGTTATGAAACGTCGAAGAAGCCATTGACTAGCTGTATTATTTTTAATTAAGTGATTTTTAGGAAAATTATTATTATTATTAGCGCGCCTTATGACGTTTACTTCTTGATAGAGATAACTGCGATCCGATGATTGAGGTTCTTGTAGTAAATGGCGATAAAAGAGGATGACTTGTTGCAGCGAACAATTTAACTAATTTGATATTAAGTGGAAGAACGCCGTCCGACGAGTAATTTGTGACATTCGTCATTAATCACGGCTTCGTGGAAGCAGACGGATGAGTTGTTGTTGTCTGGAGGGTTGACTTCGTCAAAAAGAAAATTTGAGCAGAAAACGATTAGCGCGCTAGCGATAGTGACAGTGCGGGCGCCCTCTTCCGGGCGGATACGGAAACACCCACAAAATTGGCGCGAAATTTGACTTTTTCGACGAAACTTTGTATTAATAGACGATTTCGCGTCCGAGTTATTTCGGACTGGACATGAATGAAATGATAACTTTTGTCCTATCGCTGTTTGTGAATAAAGCTTATTTTTACGCGCGAGTCCCACACAACATCGAGCAGGTGCCAAAGAAGTTGATCTATGTAGCACGAGTAATAAGGAAATTAATTGTAGTCGCGAGCTGAAATTACGACGAGAAAGCGAGACTTTCCGCAAACTAGAGCATTTCTGTCTTATTAAATTTAAAATAGGAGCAAACGCCTGAGCTGCATTCGGTTTACTTTAAAAATTAATGTAGTAGGAGTGAATAATTCATGCCCGCTAGTTTGCACAAATATTTGGCAAACTTCTCGCTGCATATTTTCATCGAGAGGTCGGTTTTAAATAAAAACGTTCTTATCTTGAACGGTGATGTTTAGAGAAGAACCTAAAGGACGAGGTCGATATTGATCGGCGCGATGAATAAGATTGTAAATACGTCTTTACTAACTAATTCTTCGGAATTCTTGGAATGATGTAATGTTATTGGAATTGTGGCAGTGACAGAGTCGAGATGCGTAAAAATAGACTATATTAAGTTTTGCTGAAAAAACCCATACGTTGATAGATATCAGTGATAGATATCAATTCCATGCGCTGTACACAGATAAGGAGTTCACTTGCTGCAAAAACAAACAAGCGAAGTTTCGTTCGGATAAAAATAAACATTAAGAAAATCCCGCGACACCTTTATCCGTGTTCCCTATTCCAACCGGAAGACCACCTCTTCATCTCACCCCATATTGATTTTCTCCTAAACGAAAATTGAAAGCTCCATTTTTTGGCAGCAGCTGCGACCTCCCCTTCCGTCGATCAAGAAACAAGTTTTTCGAAATGTCTGTTAGAAACGCACAGCGATAAGAACTCACCCAGGACTACCCACAGCGCGCTATCACCGATACAATCTAGAGCTAGTGTGACGAATCCCAATCGGAATAAATTCTATTATTATGACTAACCCAGATAAAGATAACCGATGAGTACGCAGTTATGCACTTTTCCATTTTTTAGGTCGTGACAGCAACACCGGTATCCGCCAGCAGCAGTTCCTACCAGCCGCCCCCCAGCGGACCGCCGCCCGCCATCATGGAGCCCTACCCGCCGCCGCCGCCCCCCACGCTCGTGGAGACGTACCCGCCGCCCCCGCACTACTACCCCAGCTACGGTCACGCGCCGCCCCCCTCGTGCTACACGCACTCGCCGGCCTCCAGGACCCTACCCTACATAAGTAAGTACACCCACAAAGCCGCCACTCTCTTAATCTTGCGGTGGTTCCAGACGCAACATATCAGAGCTGTCCGTGTCCAATGCAGTCCTGTCCAAAAAACGTACTTACTGGGCCTCTTACTGGTGATAGTAAGAGGTCTAACATTTCGTCAATCGCAAAAGACTCCATGCCGCTGCCACCTGTTGCCTTAGCGCTGCCCCTCGAGCCGGCGAGCGCCACGGGCCCCCCGAGCCCCGCGCGCGGCTCGGCGGGCATGCCGCCGCCGCCGTCGCCGGCCGGCGCGACGTACCAGCCGCCGCCGCCCGCCCCCAAGCAAGAGGAGAGCGGCGAGTGCAACCCGGTGGAGAAGAAGCGCAAAGCGCGGGTGGGAAAAGCCATGGTGCGGAACAACATGCAGCAGAACACGATGCTGCTGATGTGCAACCCGGGACAGAGAGCCTTCCCCGGGGAGGTGAAGCGCGAGATCGAAAGCCCCAAGGAGAAGGAGCCCGAGGCGAAGAAGGAGGTGTGCTCGGACGACGAGGCCAAGGTGCAGAGCCCGGTGGAGGAAGTAGGGAAAGACGAGGAGCGGATAGAACCGGAGCTGAAGAAGGAAGACGTGTGTGAAGACAAGACAGAAGCGCCGACGGAGAAAGAAGAACTACCGCCGTGTATTAACACCGTGGCGGAAAACGTCAAAGTGAAGAACATGAAGCGGAAGCTGTCGATGTCGAAGGAAAAAAAAGAGGAGGAAGTAGCAACAAAAAAAGTGAAAGTGGAGAAGTACCCCAACGGGTCGTACAAAGACTTGATCAAGAAAGACACGACGAGCGTGCGGATCAACAACGGGAAGAGGAAACTCATCACGGAGAACGAGGAAGGCGTGGTGAGGAAGACGAAAGGGAAGGCGAAGAAGCAAGGCACGAAGAGGAAACTCAAAGAAGAGGAGACGACACCAAGCAAGCGGCTGAAGCAAACCAAGCCACTCGCCTCCAGCAATCAACAGAACTCCAAACAATATTCTAAAGAGAAGGACAAGAACAAGTCGGAGCCGGTGCTAAGCGAGAACAAGGAGCCTCAGAAGAAGAACAAGAAGCTTCCAGTCAATTCGAAGAACGGGAAAAAGTTGGCGCCCGCCATTCTGGACACTCTCATTGCCAAAAACAATATAGAAAGGACGATTGATAGTGTGATATGTGAAACGCGGACAAACGGAAGTGCTTTAAAGACAGGCGAGAAGTGCGCGAAATCGAAAGAGCCAGTTTTAAAAAAGAGTACAAATAAAAACGGACAAATTAAGAGTAAGACGGAGTGCAGAAAGACCGTGGTGACGAGGAGAAAGTCCAAGAGCAAAGAAGTACCTCAGGCTGTGACGAGGACGCCGAGACGGTCCCTGCATCTGCCGAGGTGGTCCAACGGCTGGACGTGGGAGGGCGAGCCCTACGAAACAAAAGTATTCTTAAACGTAAGCAAACTAATACTTGTGTAACCTCCTCGGAACGATGTTTTTAATTTTAGAGCGACGAAACCACCGTCGTTCGAAGATGTTACCCGGCGATGAGGCACGAAGAAGGCGACATCATCGAAGTGCGAGACTGCGTCCTCTTGAAGGCGGGACCTCGAAAGAACGATCTTCCCTTCGTCGCGAAAATCGCTTACTTGTGGGAGAACCCCGAAGACGGTTCGTCTCTTAACCATGACAAAACATTCGTTACAATGTCGTTTCCAGGCGAAATGATGATGTCGCTCCTTTGGTATTACCGACCTGAACACACCGAGCAGGGACGTACGCCTGCGGACCAACCCGACGAGGTCTTTGCGTCGCGGCACAAGGATTCGAACAGCGTCGCGTGTATCGATGACAAGTGCTACGTACTTACTTTCCACGAGTATTGCAGGTTTGTGGCGTTCGAGTAGAGTGACAATGAGAGTGACGTCACTGTTATTGTTGTTCTACTGGAGTGTGCGTACTGATTGATTGGTTGTGTTAGGTACCGCAAGGACTTGCGGCGGCTGGAAGAGGGGATCGAGGAGACCCTGCCCTGCATCCCGATTCCGGAGCCGTACCCCCGATGTAACCGCCAGCCGCCTTCCCCCCTTCAGGTGTCGTCTGACATGGTCTTCTTTTGCCGGCGAGTGTACGACTTTCGGCAAAAAAGGATAGTGAAGAATCCGAGTTAATTTTCTAACTCAACTCTCCAATGTTTAAGTTTTTATGTTATTTTGTTACTCGTTGGTTATTGAAATTTTATGTAATTTTTTAGAGTTGCGCTATTACGTTCAATTTTTGTTTGAGTCAAATCAAAATCTTACGCTAAGTTTTGAATATTCCACGAGATTTTATATATGATAAGAGTACAGTGAGGGATTTTTTAGAAACTGTGCTTTGGTCTTTCACAAGTAAAATGAAAAAAAAAATAAGACATCTAAATTTGATACGTATACATATTGTTGCATAAGAAGAAAAGGGAACATTTGTATTATAAAGAATTAGTTATCAATACTGTTGTATAGAAAATAGAGATGATTATATTATATATTTAACACAAAAGAATCATATTTATAATTAGTATTAGTCATCGCTGGTGTAAAAGGTGTGTGCTTTTATAGATCGTAGATGTGTTTCGTCAATGTCGTCTCTTCAACTATTTTGTAATTGTTTAGCTCTCGCATAAGTAGAAGTCAGTCAGCAGTTACTTTGATAATTTACGCTGAGAAGAGTACAATGATAGTCATTTCAGGGTTTGTGCCAGGCGATTTTTTTGACATCCGACAAACCGTTACTTTTGTTTTAGTACACGTTGTATAAATCATTCGTACTTCTCTCGCAAAGATAACACAAAAAGTCGCGTATGTAGTCGCAGAATATTTTCTTATTGTTATGTATTTTTAGTAGACACCAATATAGTACCTACTTATTTTTTTCTAGTTTAATTACTCCTACTTTAATTTATGAGTAATATATTTTCTAAGCTCTTAGAGCCCTAAAACGATTAATTTTAAATTGTAGCCAAAGTTAACGTTATTATTTTATGATTATTATTTATTGTGTTTAATTAAAATATTTGTATTGGTATTTTTTACATTTTATTATTGCCCCATCCATTTTTTACGTTTTATATGTCGACATTTATTGTATCTTCGCCTTTTTAGGTGCCTTCTCCAATACCTCCACTATCCACTCGGCTTTTTATCATTTGTATTGTTTCTTTATTCCATGTTCACCCATTTCAGAATAAATGTGTGAAGAAAATGTTTGTTATTTAAATGCCACCACTTCACGCGAAAAACTAAGGTGTCGCACGCTTCAACTTTTTTTCATTCCCCAAATCGAATTCGTCGATAATTTACCGGAAAATTCCATCCCCAGGTCCCTACCAAATTTGTTCAGTGTTAAATATGTGGACATTATTTTTGGCGTACAGTGTAATATTGGTGGACCACTTTTTTGTGTATTGTATAATAAAAACTTCGTTAGAAGAGAAAGCTTACTGGAAAACAACCAAATAACGAAGAGGTACCTTAATTGTGGAGAAAACTATTCATTGCGTAATTATGTTGAAATAAAATAAGCCTGTTGTAATTTCAAGAATAATAATTGGCTAATTTGATGTAATGTCGAGAAAAGCGGTCTATTTATTTCTAGATCGATTAATTTTGTTTTAATTAATTGCATAATTTTGATATTGGTTGCATAATTGTTGCAATTAATTAGTGGATTTTAATAATTTCCACATGTCGCATCTGATGGACCTAATGAATGTTAATTGTTATTAATTTTGTTTGAAAAATCTGTGAACTGTGACAGCAATAAATTATGAATCGTTAATCCATTAAGTAGGTGCTTTCAGCCATTAAATATCAAACTGGTACCACATCTTCATTTTCGTTCTAAAATTTGTTTCTCATTCCTCTCTAATTTAGTTTGTTGAGTCTTAAAACTGTTCGTGTTTTCCTAAATATGTTTTGATAAGCTTTATCATCACTAAAATTTCAATTCTTTACAAGAAAGTAACAATAATAGTGTGTGAAAAAAGTATTGTTTACCACACACTGTTGGTTTGTTGGTTAGGAAAATTCTTGGAATCGCTTTGTGGAGATGGAATCTGAGCATCAACGACACGTGCGGGTCAAACGTTCACCATTAACTTTGAAAAGTAGTCGGGATGTACTTTTGGTGACCCAGTTTCGGCAAAAGTCACCATCAGACGTCTCAAAGGTGTACCGTCCCAGTATTTACCCAGCGTCGCCTTGTGTTGTCGAAAAAACAAACCTTTTGAAAATCCACCGACGTCTATAACTCATTCTCGTAAACTGTAGTAATCAGGGTTTGATAATGTGTAGATAAAACATAATAAAATAATCATCTAATATTATATCGGTAAATAACAAGATAAATATTTAATCAGTAAATAGATAAATTTAAATGAGATTTCGATTCGGTGTAAATTCGCGCCTGCCTGAGGTCCTTGTCAATATTGTTCGGTGATTTTCTCTGCTTATTTTAGCGGAATTTACGATGTTTGGTGAGGAAATGCGTGTGTTTGTAAGGATTCGCGCGCAAATTCGAACTGGTCTGTGCCCCCACTGCTCGCATCAGGTGATCGACATTTCGTCGTTGAGGTAACCGCCGGTAGTGGGCGCCTCGCCCCCGTCGGTAATGCAGGTCTCGTTCGCCTCAGCCTTTATCGAATCCGTCTGATACAGGCCGCTCGGGCGTTTCCGCTTCGATTAGACGCAATCTGATTGGAGCCGAGCGTCCCCGAACGGGTCAATGATGTCTGAGAGCTGCCTGCAAGTGTAATGGTGTGTTGAAAGGCCATCGCGGGCGAAAAAATGGTCTAAATGCAATGGTAAGTGCGTGCCCGAGTCCGTTGTAAGTGCGTGCGAAGCCCAGTGTGTCGTCCGGAACATTTTCGGCGGAAATGTCCGTTTGAAGTGCGCGAGAACAAGACGGCTCTCTCAAGGGTGTCAGCAAGAAATGTGATAGGCCTGAGCGACCCAAGGAGAATTCGCAATGAGCGGGCGCCCCAGAACCACGTCCTTCGCCGAGGGCAACAAGCAGCCGCTGAACCCGCCCCTGGGAGGCGTGAAGATTAGCAGTAAGTGTGCGATTGACGTCGCAGCGGCGGTTGGTTACGGTGTCTCTGCGGTCGCGTTCAACATGGCGCGCCCCGGCGGTGGGCCGGATCGGCCCGGGGGCCCGGGCCCGGCGCCCGCCCGCCGGGGCGCCCGCCACGCCGGCCCGCGCCGCCCACCGCCCGCCGCGGCCGACCGGAGGACCCACCCTCCGCGCCGCCGAGCAAAAATCCACGGCCGTCTCGGAAAAAGCGCCCGTTTTGCGAAAAATCGATACTTTGGGCCGCGGATCCGCGATCGACGGCCCGATTTGGGTCGGGGGGCCGCTTCGCACGAGGGGGCGGCGGCGGCATGGGGGCGCGCCGCCCCATCGCCCCGCAATTGCATTTAAAAGGAAGCCAGTGACATGCAGGTAAGAAGGCCGTGACGTCAGCTAACCTATGAAGTCATTGACAGTTTACCCTTCTGACGCAATCATTTCCAATAGTTGGGCTGCATTTGCACTACTTGGCCAGGACTGGAAGATGGTGGGCTGCGGCAAACGTTAACAATTTTCAGGTCGCGCGAGGCTTCGCAAAACAATCGCGACGGAGTTTTAACCACTTCCAGACGTACAACGGCTTACACTTGACGGAAGTCCAAACAGAATTGACGAAAAGACAAAAATCGACATAGGTTAACTCCTTCCATAAGACTTTTTTTATATTTCCCTGAAACGAAATGTCTGTTGCACCAAAAGTGATCGATTAAAGTAGGCCATGCCTGTCAAATGAACAATAGCTCGTTTTCAACCGATACTCTTGGCGTTATTTGCCAAGAATCAAAGCCTGCTTAAAATCATGTTGAAGACGTCACTTCTGCATTGGCTAACTGTCAAGAATTTGGCGATTTTAACTGTCATATTTTGACTAGTGACGCAGTATTACGTTTCCTCTCCTATACGATTAAATATTTTGTAACGAATGCGTAGTTTAACGTTGGAATTTTCATACATAAATTTTCAAGTCGCGCCAGACTTCGCAAAACAACTAATCTGTCGACGTTTTAACCACTTCCAGAATTTTGAAGATCGATTAAAGTAGGCCATGCCTGTCATATTTTGACAAGTGACGCAACATTACGTTTTGTCTTCTATATAACTTTTTATTTTTAAGCAAATGCGTAGTTTAACTTATATATTTTGTCGAAATTAATTCCGAAATAATATACACAGTCGTCGACAGACGCAGTCAAACAAAGCGTGCATTTCTTGTGAACAATTCACCGGAAAATCAAACTCGTCATTTATGTAGAACTGGGTAAAACGTGGCCACATATTTTTAATTCCCGACGTAATGCATCACATCCTAAAATGACTTTGGTGTAGATTCACCTAATTAGATCATGCCTGTCAGGGTAAATCATTTTGCACGGCTTGCGGTTAAAAGTGACTAATTCGCTGAACATTGTCATTAAGACTACGTCAAGTACCTCCCAAACAATGGCCAATGGCACATTTTGGACAAAGACCCGTTCATTCGTTGAGTTGTACCACAATGTCACAACCCTTTCAGGTACTCACGTCACTAAATAATTCTTAGGGTCTTGAGTCTTGTTTGCACAGCTGCGGATTTGCGTGAAGTCGTGAAGGATTGCGACGTTTTGTATCGATTTGTCATTGGGAAGCTCGGCTTGGCGAACCCGCAACCGTGTAAGTGCGCCTTTACGGAAGTATTCACCGAATAATTCTGTTTGCATGTTTTAACCGACATAAGTAAGAATACAACAGGTGTTATGTTATTGACTTCAGGGGAGGAATTGTGGCCATATTTTAGTGTAACGTGTGTGGAAAATTGAAAATGCTGGTGGTCGATTAGGGTCACATTCTTGAGTTTCGTATAACAACCCCTATAATACAACTAGTTTTACTAGGATATTTTTATTGTAAGTGCAGGTGGAAACAGGTATGTCAGCTTTGACAGGTGCCCGAATAAAAATCAAGAAAAATCAATAGTTTTGTTGCGATTATTCATTCATTTATAATTTATATCCGTTATGGAAAAAAATTAAAAGGTTGTTTTTTTAAAATTCGGGGGAGTTCCCACGAAGTTGTGTAACCTGAATCGACCAACACGCACTGGGTTTTGTTTATGTTTTCCAAGTGCGGTGAACTCCCAGTATAATATGACATGGTTTGATTGACGGCTCACCACGTTATGTCATCCTATTAGTTATTTAATTATTGTTCGATGAAGTTGTATATAGGACGCTCAGCGCATCGCCACACGACCTCCAACTTCGCAAAAATAAATTACCCGTTTTGGACAAGTGTACGAACTTTCCAACAATTAAACGTCGTGAAATTATAACGGTCTCCAGCGACTTCCTTAATGAAACAAATTTACTCGTACTTTTACTCAACCGTAATGAAGCGTCTTCTCCAGAGCGCGTAAAACAAATTTCGTCGAAATTCCTGCGGAAATGATAAACTCCGCCCTAACCTCAAATGAATCATTGAAGTCGTCTGCGGTGTATCTAAAAATCGTCGGCAGAAATCGCAGGTAGAAACTTCTTCCATAATTACCGAACGGACCGAATTATAAATCATGATGTAAACACCTCGATCATGTGTCAGATGCCAGTGTGAAGGTCAACCGACAAAAATTCACTCGAAATGTAGTGCCTTATGGCGTTTATGGTCGGTAATTACGGTCAGATGGTCAACTCACTTCTTAATTACCGCCGCTTAATTACCAGGGTAATTACGTCTTCAAACATTTTTGCAACGAGACAAAATTGACTGCTCGTGATCCAAAGTGGGTTTGTATTGATTGCTTTTTTATGGCCGGGGCGGGTGCCGGACGCTAGTTGCGAATTGATCGCAGATTTAGTTCTGTATTATTCAACAATTAATGGCAAAAGTGAGCACATTTGGTTGGTTTTTGGGTCGCGGCGCACTCGGACAGGTGAAAATCGCGAGCGAAATTAAATTGTGTTTGTCTTGTCAGTTCTTCAAAG